TTCCAAACATTGCAAATTGCAATTACCAACAATAATACTATTAAATAAAATTGATTGGGTGTACCTTGCAAATAATAGAATAATATGCTCATTAAAGAATCAATGGAAAAATTAAGTATTGAGAGAGGATAACTAACTATAACAATAATGTATTTCTCCCGCATATATAAATTAAAACTTACAAAAGAATAATAACATTGTTATTCTCTATTATGGTTATGGTTCTCCATTCTATAATAAAGTTAGACTAGTTCTAAATTTTTTTCCAATAAAATATCTTTGCTCTTGCTGCTCATTATTTTATCCAATTACCTTAAAATTGTTTAGGCAAACCTTAAATTTTTTCTGTTTGGTATTTTTGAAATTTAAAATTAAATTTATTTTTAAAAAATTAAATTAAATAGAATTTAGAAAATTTATTTTACAAACATAATTATTATTTTCGAAACAATTTATATAATTATGGTAGTTTTTTCAGGCATTTATTTTAAGAGTATAACAGCTTTTATCACTGAATGAGTTTTAAAATGAAAATTTTTTGTATGATTCATTTTTGTTGGTTAGCCATATTTGGATATTGTTTATAGTAGGTACTAAAAATTTATGTGAACATTTTGGTATATAATTGAATATATTATAGACCTACATCTGTAGGCTTTATTTTAGTCTTGTTTTGTTATTTTGTTTCCAAAAAAAAAAAAATTACATTGAAAATTAAATATATTTTGTTAATAATTTCAATAGAGTGAAAAAAGAAGTTAAAAGTTAAGTGTTCATTCTGCTAAATAGAGTAGAACAAATTTACAATGATGGAGATATTCTTACATACTTTGTATACATATATGTATAACACAATATATAATGACAATGTATATATATATGTATAACTAATTTGTTTTGATTTACAAAAAAGACAAAAAAAACTGAGAGGAACGTGAAAAAATTGTTTCAACCTTGATCAAATATTAAGGTGTTTTTCCGCTTGGAAAATTGGCTGGAAAAATACAAAAATAGATGCTGATATGTGTGTGCGTATGTGTGTATAATTGCAGTGAACCTTTGAATTACTAAAATTATTTTGAATAATTTAAAAAAACAAAAATTGTTAGTCATTTTATTCTTAAACACTTTTTCTACATTGTATGTGACTTAATATAATGGCTACTATGTGTGAGGAGAGTTTTTGTTGAAAGGAAATCAAATTCTAATTTTACACCTAAATTAATTTTGTTTTCAAAATTTTGTTCATTTAATTTCCTAACATTATTGTTTAAAATTATTGGTTTAAAATTAATTATGTGCTTGACTTTAATATTCTTTTAAATTAGAATAATGTTCTGAACTAAATTTAAGTGTCAAATACAATTTTAATTACGTTGTGTATTTAAAATAGATTGAGTAATAGAATAATGCCCACATAATATGACAATTATTAATCTAATTAAATAAGAGTTAGTATGCTTTATGTGAAAAGTTGTCATTTAGATCAATCTTTTTTTAGCTCTTGGGACCATAAGACTTCTACAAAGCTTAACCAACGAATTCTCTTTTTTTTTCTCCCTCGGGTGCCGAGGCCCTTAGGTCGTCCTCACGTCGACCCATAAGATCTTTAGTGATTCCCATCCCACCTACATTAGCTCTCCACCTAGGTCTCTGACAAACCGCAGTATGGCAGCCACATTAAGCTGTGAGATCCTACCCGGGGTCACAAAGCAACCTAACCCCGGAAGCATCTCAGCCGGAGGCAAGCAACCGCTTCGCACTCACACGGTAAGTGCTCCATGGTTTCGTTCTCCTCCAGGCATAAACGGCAGATTTCCTCTGCCACCCTGCGTGTCCTTTTCAGTGTCCAATAAGAGCCCCTACAATGTCCTCAAATTCGGACGACTGAGCATGACCAGACGCCGTCCTCCCAGTCCCAGTAAAGGCACAAATTTCTTTGAGTGCGACAGGCCCAGGCAGCCGTTCCAGTGTTCAACCCTAGCCCGTTCCTCCCATCCACTAAGGGCACGCAAGACCCGTAGTCCTGGGTACGCCAAAGCAATTCCGGCCCAATGAAAGGAGCCGCCGTTCTCTCCGTGGCAAGACTGTAGTGTCCTGGCGTCAGGGTTAATTTGTTGTGCCTAGCCAGGACGCCAACGATGTCAATGCATTCTTTCAGCAGCCTGGATCCTACTAAACGAACTCTGTTAGAGGAAAGTCCTTTTACTTTTCCCCATATCCTATTGGCCGTGATGATTTTTCTCTTTATTGTTCTTTGCCATGTAATATTTGGTGTTCCAACTCTTTCTCTTCCTTGGTAAAAATTTAGTTAAGTATGAGCGAATTTAACTCTGAGCTCGGTTCGAATTATATTTGTTCTAAGATATCCAAGTCCGTATATTTCTGCACGTAATTTTTTAATTAAAGTTAAAATTCATTGTTACTTGGCATTTTCATCTTGTTTAAGTAAATAAATATTTTATGAGCATGCAAATAGTTTAGAATTTCATTTACAAATTTGAATAATTTTGAATATATTTAGATTTAGGCAAGAAGCTTGGAATAACCCCATGGAATTCATGATAAAATTCAAATCATACAGTAAAGGGAGGTTACCATCTTAGTGCTTCTAGGGAGCATCTTCCAGTATAAAATAAGTGTACCTCTTTAAGCATTATTACAGTCATAAGCATTGACATAAAAATTTTTAAATTAAAATTAAATACCTTAACCAAAAACAAAATTTAAGTAACAATTAAATATAAATCGTGCAAAAAACATAATTTCGAAATTCAAACGCACTAATCGTTGCCCCTATTCAATACATGCCTAAAACAAAGAATGTGAGTAGCACAATTTGGTTATTAAGTAAGCGTTTGATAAATTTTAATTGAGTATTAACAGATTGCTTTGCTAGTTGTTGGAAATCAAAAAAAAAAAATTGCATCAATAATTTGTGGTGAATTATCCTAAATGCTTTTTAATAATTGAGCTAGAGTACATAGCTGCGGTAAACGCTCATTGTTCATTTTATATGTCAATTTTATTTAATTTAGCTTAAAGTTATTTCTTAAAATAAAAAGCGAAAAAAAAAAAATAGATTATTACAACAAAATATGCGGTTTTCATTATTAAAATTCACTTAAAATTGTGGTGCCAAAACTCATACAGAAAAATATTTGTGAATATTTAGGTGTGTGTATACGAAAAAATAGAATTGGGAAAGTTGCATTGAATGGCAGAAAACCACATATTAAACGCATGAACAAGTGTTAAATATTTATCACCTCAATAGAATAAGTTGTTAATTAATTATTGGAAATGGGGCGAATTATTTGGAATTGTAGTTTTTAATATGGGGACAAAGATTGAGCATTGGATTTTTATGTAAAATTTGCATGTGTACATACATGGATAATAGAAGAAAATCTCCTGGTCATTTGTGTCAACTTATTTACTTCTGAAGCAAAGAATTAATTTTCAATCAAACCAAATTTGAATTTCTTAACATCCTGACCAATAAATTTTAGTAATATGGAACACATATTTCACCTTACGAACATACAGACAGTTTTACTGGTAAATTTTGTATGCAAGAATGTTTATGTATAAGTATACAATATACTCGATATTCATTAAAACGGATTAATTGCCGCCCTAATCCAATATTATCCTAAAACATCATTTGAATACCATCTAATCCTTAATGATGTTTGTCTCTAGATCATATTTAATAGAGTTGTATACTTGATTAGAGTCAGAGAATCTCGAAAATAAAAACAAAAGTATTTTTGGTTTTTTTAAATTTTAAATTGTGTTTTAAATTTTTTGGATATCTTTAATCGCCTACACCAAATGCATAAAACTGAAGGTGGATTAACATTTTTTGATTTTTTTTTAATGAAGTCTAATGGTGTGAATAAAAATCAACCGCAACAATGTATTTTAATCATTGATTCAAGTTTAAAATTACTCTTGGGATTGGAAAACCCTTCTAATTTTATTTTTTTTTATTTTTTTTTTAAAGAACATTGTTGTTTAGTTGTGCTGTATAGTGGAACAGAGCAACCCACATTAAATTTTTGTGTATATAATTTAAAAGTTTTTTTATTAGACTTTTATAAATTTATTCTTAAAGTTTGTTTTATTCTTTTTTTATGTGGGGGACTGAAACAATTGAATAATAAATTAAAATTTGATTTAAAACTGACATTAAACCCTCCCCCCCCCATCTGAATATAGAATAATTTGAATAAATTTTGGAGTAGATTATATAGCACATATACATAATAGTACATACATACATAAATGTATTTTTTAAGGTGGATAATGCGTAAAATTTCTGTATATAAACTGATTTGAATTTTGAGAGAACCAAGTAATATTTATAAATAAAATTTATATGGTCAATTTAGTTAATTAACAGTTTTTTGATTGCGACTGATATAATTTGTTGACTGGGTCTAATATTTGAATATACAGTAAAATATTTATATAGCGAACACTCGAATAAGGCGAGAATTTCTATATAACTTGTTTGAAGGTTCGAATGTACTGACTTGAAAATTTTATTTTATACATTATAACTTATAATGAATTAGAGCTTCCGCTAGACTACAGTAGGAAGCTCTTTAGAAAAATTAAAGAATTAGATGAGAATCAAGGGTGTTATAGGGACGTACCCTATATAAACAAAGTGCATAAAAAGCGATAATACCGAAAAGAGTACACAATTTAATCAAGCGTTGTTTATTTGCTAAAGAATATTTGGTAAGGTTTGTAACATGTTAACAAAGGAAGACTGTTAATGTTTCTTTGCTAAGGGCATTTCATTTGTTCTCTTGCGCCTCATAAAACCTTTATGAGTTAAAAATGAGCAAAATATTGAGCTACTCAATTATAATTTTCCTTATTCATAGTAATATTTATTAAAATAATTATAATATCTTGCTCAGTTAAATTTTTTCAACGAAAACAATAAAAAATATTAATAGAAAATATTAAATATGAAAAATTACCTTCAATAGCAGTCATTTGTGATATTAAATGCTCTAATTGTGATGACATAATACAATCTTCATCTGCTTGTAAATTATAATCCAAAGCCAAAAATATAACATGGCCAATTTTGTGCAAAATCTGGAAAAAATTAAAAGAAAAAAAAAATAGTAAAAATAAATAACAATTTTAAAAAATAATAAAAAAAAAAATTAATCAAAATAAAATAAGCGTTAAATTGAAACGATTGCAATTAAGTATGAAATTTGTCTCTAATGAACATCATTCATAAACTGCTTACAAAATAAAGACCGTGAACTTATAATGCGTGCGCATGTGATAGCGAGGGAAAAGTTAAATTAAAAAAAAAAAACAACATTAAGTTACAAATTATAAGATAATAAAAATTGTATAAAACTGTTGCTATTAGAAAGTATGGAATTTTCCAATTTTTTGGATTAAAATTTGCCATTTTTTTTAAAGTCATTAATTTTTATTACATTTGTTTTTTTTTCCCTCTTTTTTTTTTTAAACTGTTATATGGAATTGAGAAGGTATTATGCACTAAGATTTTTAATTTTCGTATAACATTAATAATTGCTACTTATGCATATGTGCATTCGGCAATAACTGGCGGACTAATTTTAGACGCAAACAACTTTTATTATTTGCTTTTCTCATCGTATAGAGAAAGATTTTAAAGATTTGTCACCTTAGCTTATCAATATCAACGATTGGAAGAAATTAAAGTCTTAGTACGTCTACCAAGTTACAAATCTTTAGACGCCAACTTTACATTCTACTCTTTACCAAGGATTTCGGTAAATTTTTTTCTAAAGTCAGAATCCACTTTTGTTTTGCATTTTGGTAAGCAACACAATGTTATCTGTAACAATTTAACTTAAAGAGTGTAGTTTCTTTTTAGTTGCTACAGAATGATTATAAACAAACAACAGGATTGTACCCATATGCATATATTCTAAATCGTACGATTCATACTTAGCACAATTCTTAAAACATCAAAGATTTGATATATATTTTATACACTTTCAGTACAGAGTTCAGTCACTTTGACAGTCAATTTTGACAAACCTTTTACAATATAACAGAACAACTGCATACCAATTTTATTATTTTTTAACTGTAGGTATATAAAATATAAATAATTATTTAAAATTACAAAAAAACTTAACGTTACAGGTTCGTTATAAAGACGGTATGTAACCAAACTGTACACATAGTAAGGTGAAGAAATGTAAACAAAATGCCCTGACATGAACCAAATAAAAACAAAAATTCAAATGAAAGTGAAAGATGCGATCTCGCCGTCAAAAAACCAACAAAAAAAATTCACAAAAGAAGCATTTTTCACTTTTCTTAAGAGATTTTTTCTTTTTTTCTTTTTATTTTGAAATTTCTCGGTAAAAAGTCAAATTTCATCTTTTCATTGTCTGTTATTATTATAAACATTTTTGAGGAAATCATCTAAACACGAAAAAAAAAAAAATGGCAAATCTTCAAAAGAAAAAATTAAAAACGCTTCTCCGGTTTCTTCTTTAATCTAAAGCTTCCATTTGATTTAGACTTGTCTTTTATTCGGTTTCAAAATTTTATTTTGTCTATTATTCGATTTATGAAAGAAAAATTGTATTGAAATTTTTTTTTGGTGAGTTCCAATGTATTTTTTTTTTTTTTTTTGAAATTGCCGACTTAAATGAAAATATTTCAAGTATTTTCAATGGCTTTTACTTGCAAATCATAGGATATTCTACTCATAATAGAATAAATTAGAAGAAAACTGATAGATTCTGGGAGTTTGGCTCTTATAAATTCGGTTCAAGAACGTTTTGCAATATTATTTGACCAAGTAAAGATGTGTTACTAACTAAACTTATTCGGTGGAGAAAGTAAGAACTATACTTATTCGGTGCGGATACACCTATACACAACGTACATAATTCAAGTAATTTCTACAAGAATTTTATCGTAACCCGCGACGCTGCCAACAGGCATCTCTCACACCCCCGCATATTTTTCTAAAATTTGTTTATACATATTTAATAATTCTTTTCTCATTTCGAATTTATTTTAACTTTGAAATACTTAAAATTGTCACTAATTCCTTTATGAGTGAATTTTTATGAAATGAAAACGTTTTTGCCCCAGGAATTTATTTTGGATATTTTTTACTTGTAAGAAGTTGAGTGTTAACTTTTTTTAATAGACAGCTCAGTCCAGATGCTGTATAATAGGTAAATTACTCCTATGACTTGCAGTTATTCAATTGTGAATATTAAAACAATTTATTATCGCGATTTTCAAGTTATTCTGCTAGAGAAATTCAACATTATAGCGCACAGTTCTACACTGCCATAACATACACCTAAATAATAGTTTTTCGAAAATAATAATAAAAATATTTTTAATCTTAACAGTAAAATAGTTCCTTTGTAAATCGATCATAACAGTACTTGAAATAAATTTTACCGTTACTTCCATATTATATAGTCAATAACAAATAAAATTTTTACTGTCACTTTCAGTTCTTCTCTTAAATATATTTTTTTTTTATATTTTTGTTTTCTTTTTCTTCTTTTGACATTGACTAATCTTTGAAGCAATTTCAATTTCATTTTATTGTAATTTTTGTTTTTTAAATTATTATGCTTTTATAAAACTAATGAAATTAATTATATTGTGTGTTGGTTTAGAAGCCAAACAACTTACACAAAAAAAAAAAACTGGTAAATTTTAAAGAAAAAAAAAAGCAAACTGTTGCTTGCAAATTCCGTGCAAATTACTGGCGGCGCCATATTATTTTTCTTTTGTACCTCCTCGTTCAAATTATAAATATTTCAAGCTTATCTTAGTAATACAGTTATAAATTTACAATAAATACAGTTATTCGATTATAAATTTATTGTTTTTTTTTATATTTATTTAAGATTATAAATTGGATTATTTGTTAATAAATTTTTCCTGGATTTTTCAACAGTGTTTTAATAAAAGTGAATTTAGTCGCTGGTTTTTTTTTTTAATTTTCTCTTAACTTTTAAAATAATATTTTTGATCTTTTAAAATGACTAAGATTAAAAGAAAAACAGAAAAGGTATTTTTGCTTAAAATGAAAAAAATTAAAAGTGAAAATGAAAATTATTAGCGAGTTGGTGTCATTTTATTGTTAGTTTAACACTTAAACAAAAATCAATTTATAATTTTTTTTAAAAGGTTTAACACTCGTAAAAATGATTTTTGCGTAAAGTGGAGTAAAACCCCGGTTTAAAGCAATTAAAAAATTGCTTTTTAATATTAATTTATTAAAAATCTCTAATAGAAAAGGGAAATTTAATTTTCTACAAAAGGCTAATACACTAAGTCCTCGAGCTGCGATATCTTTTAATACGTTATTTCGAGCTACGACACAAGATAACTTTAAACTAGAGGCTCCCGAACTTTTTTCTCTAAAGATAGAAAACTTATTTAATTAATTTCAAATTTTGTCATAGACCCCGAGCAGGTCTTCATGGACCCCTAGAGGTCTACATAGACCACTTTGGGAATCACTGTTTTAGACCATTTCTATTTGACTTGTGGCACTATTCCTACTAGAGATTTTTGCTTGAAGAGAGTGAGTTATTTTTGACAGTGTTGTACTGTATTTTTTCTTTTGAAACAGGTTGTTTAATGCAAAAAAAAAAAAAAACAAAAATTAATTCAAAATTATAAATAATTTTCGAATGGGGTAACTGACATTATGACACCTACAAAACAATGTAAATTTTAAAATTGATTTTTTTTTTTTGATTTTTTTTACAGTCGCAACATTTTAAAAAATGAAATTTTATGTGAAAATATTTTTGTTTTTCGTATTACAATTTCATTTATTCTTAAATTCAAATAAAACGAAAATTTATTTCTTAATTTAAATCGTATTTTTTCGGTAATCAAAGCTATGACGCCATATACTTGGGGCAAAAAGTATACAATGCACGAGTTTTATTGGAAAATATAAAAATAAGCAAATTAAACGTAAAACAAAAATTGTTGGTTTCAATTAAGGTTTAATAATATTTTTAAATGATTGTTTTTTGTTGGGGTTTTAAACGTGTTTTTAATATTGCAAGAAAATCAGTAAAAGATAAGATTTTAATATTTTACCTGATTGGAAATAACAGTAAATAAAAGTAATTTTAAGAAAGCTACCTGTTTTATTGAATTTTTCAATTTTCTATTAAAAAGGGGTTCAGAAAACTATGGCAAGATGAGAATCAAAAGCATAAATAAGTTAGGGTTGATATAGGTAAGTCATCAACATTGCCGGTAACATTAAACCATTAAGATCGGAAAATAATGTTATGTACTCGGTAGTATAACAATGGTATTGTATACTCAAACCAACGAAAGCAGTGGTGCTGAACTCAATAATCAGCAATAATCATTTGAATCGTTTTCTTTACGACAATGCCCTCTACTCCCCCTTGTTTGATCGGTATGTCATTTAAAGCCCTATTGAATCCCGCTTATTCACCAGATGTAGTTCTTTCAGTAATCTAAAATTTATTTGTTCTTCACAATATCTGTTAATCAAACATATTCATGACAGGTTTTTAAGTATCTCTTTCCTATTTTCACGTCGAAACATGGACTACAAAATATTTTTTGATCAAAATTATATAAGTACATATATACATATATAAAACATGTACTTGTAAGTAACGAGAACGTAAATAGTTTGATTGTGCACAGCACATAAGAATTGATTGAAATTATGATCTCGTTTTGCGGTAAATTAAATATGTTAAGCCATATACATATCTATATGTACATACATACTTTTGTACATTTACATGAGCATTATAAATTTAATAAAATAAATATGAATTATGTGCATTAAATTATGCTTATATATAATAGTCGCTCTTATTTTCTAGAAGTGAGTCTAGACCAGACCACAAAAGTTGTATAAAATATATATGTTTATGCATGTATGTATGTGTATATTAGAAATGTTTAATGTGACTTTGTGATTCTATTTCATTTTTATGTAGATAATAATAATAATGCTTTCTCTCTGACATAACTTGCATGCCACAATATAATAATGAAGGTGCATGTTTATGTATGTAGATATGTGTATGATG